GTGTATTTCTCCATAATATTATGCCATATCTCAAGCGGGAATAAACATTCGCGAAATATACACAACGAGCAGTGTGGAGGCTGACTGAATTTGAAAGAATTTTGAAAGCGTAGCAAAAAGAACTTAATATAATATTATATTAATGATTCAAATATGAAGGAAGAACGATTCAGTAAATAAGTTACGTAATTCTGAGAAATCCCCTCCAATATACCTCGTATCCTAATATATTTAGTTCATACCAAAATATACTGGGGGCGTTTTCTCGACGGTGGCGCCAATCGATACATAAACCTATACAAATGTGAATGAATGAGTATTTTCAGAGCAATTTTATGCACCGCAAAATATAACCCTTCGGTATAATAATAAAGGCGCTAATATTATTTATTTTTAAACGTGATTAAAGTGCATCTTTAGTCATACTTTTCTCCCTAAGTTAAAATGTGTCGTTATTCCTCCCGATATTAAAGTAACCATAGAACGGGATGAAAGTCGACAAGGGCGAATCGGTCGCCTTTTACGAAGGAGGTCTCTCATGTAAAATTTTTTAACAAAACGAGCTGGCTGCTTCACAAGGGCTAGTCTAACCCCTGTGAAGTGTTCTAAACCCTACCCTTATCCTAATTCCCTCCCAATACTGGCCGCTGGGTAGTGACGCAGGAGCGCGTGGTAGGAAGCGTGTACACGGAATGCTACCTGGCGGTCGTCTTGACAAATGACTACGACGAGACGTGGCATGGCATACTAGTAATGTAGGATTATTTCTGATAAATTATACTAATTAATGGAGGATTGCTCCAAACGCAAAGTACTCAACGCCCCCTAAATGGCTTGGAGACGCGTTGCGTCTGTATAGACGCAACAAATTTTGACAAAACGTAACCTCTGGGATTAAAGTAACCACATCCACCAGCGACTCTCGTTACCATTACTATCAAAAAAAAAAAAGATGTACCTCAAGTCTAAGAGAATACATATACTTGGTTAAAAATTAACCTTCAACAATAAATACTGATTGTCTCATGCCTCTTAAAAAAATCTGTAAAATTCAAGTTTTGTAAAGGTCTTACCTTTTTTGGTTAGTAGTCTTTTTCACGACTCTTTAAAAATCCAGATAATTTACAATATCTAAAAGTATCAGCATCAATTATCGCGTTAAACACGTATCATCAACAACTTTCCCTGGAGAAATACGTACGTACTTACTTGGAGATATCAACATTTTCCTTGACATTTAACTTTGTCCTCACCATTGAATAATATCTTCAAAATGAAGAAGACTTGTATTTTTTTTTATTTATTGTTAAAATACGCAAGTACAATTTCTTCTCAAACGTTTCTTACTTTCCTGTTATTTTTCCATTTGCAGAAACATTCGTACTCTTTTCCGTAGATATGCCTCGATTTTTCAGAGAATACTCCAAGGCTTCCTAGAGAATAATTGCATTAAGCTTCTTTCTAATTATCATTAAGAATTTGTAGATCTTCAGAGTATAAGTAATATGTATTGTTTGTCTGATTCAAAAATTCCTCCATTCTTCCATCCAGAATGCAAACCAGCTGCAATAACAGTCACAAAAAAATGTATATGACCTTATTTAAAGATATAATTTTTGAACAGATTTAATTTAAGACAAAAATCTCTCTCATCAATATTGTACTTTTGCAAGTTTAATTTTGTGCAATTTTCAAAAATACACAGTTTGTTTTTTCAATACGTGGTAGTTGGGGAAATGGGACCTGCACTACATTTTTACCGACCTTTGCTGCATACAAGAAAGAAAAATGGAGCCGTTTTTTAGCAAATAATTGTTGAAAAATTGCTTTATTTCACGCAATATTACGTGAAAGCTACTCACATTTTCAAAAAAATAATTTTTCAACACATTTTAAGGCGTCTTTGAAGAATATTTTATTAAGAAACAAAGGTTGCTATACAATAGCACAAACTTACCTGCATTAGTTTTCTATTTCCTTTGGTCTCGGCTTGCTATTCGGACGTGCCACATACTCTTTCCAGCTGCCATCCATCGCTGCCCAAAGTATTTTTTTTTAATTTTTCAAATTTTTTGGTTCCCTAATAGTATAACGGGTATATTATTTTAAGAATATTGAAGAACAGTAACACCAGGCAATTTTCAAAAACAGTAATTGCCAATTTTCTTTAAAAAAGCATTGGTCAGGTTGGAAAAGCTCAAAAAAGAATTTTTGAGTTTTTGAAAAACTTCATTTAAAGTCATTTGAAGAACATTAACTCACAACTATAATAGTGTTAACAAATTGCTGGAAATGTACATATTAGCGGCGCAACAGATCTTTCGAAGAAATTATATTGTGTAATTAAAAACAAACAAAATAATACACCAAAATGAACTTAACGTCATATAGAAGAGATATATCAAAGAGTACAATTATTCCTATCCATTCGAAAAGTTTGAAAATAAAATTTGGAGATATTTTTGAAAAAAAATGCCTTTAAGCGTTTTCACAGAAAACTATAGAGTTTTCAAGAAAATGTATCTGACATTATTTATACCACATGTACTTATAAATACATGATTGTGAACAAGTCGCCGCAAATGTAAATATTAACGACGCGAGAGACAGGTAAAAAATTATACTTTTGTAATTTTTGAAAAAACAAATTAATAAAGCAATATGGCGTTACTCACATCTTATAGAGTGCATATAGCACTATCCCTATCAAAAGTTTAAAGAAAAAATTTGAAGCCATTTTTGAGAAAATCTTGTTTTTGTTATTTTTTAAATTGTACATATTTCACGCAATATTGCGCGAAAACTACTGTTTAAAAAAAGTTATTTTAATGAAAGATCTTACTATAGAGAACAAATTTTTATTGGAAGGAAAAATCTCTATCTTCAATTTTGTACTTGCTGTACTCGTAAGATGCTCGAAAATTTTCAATATTTTCAAATTTTCGGAAATTCGCAGTTAATTCTGAAAATGGAACCTGTGCCACCTTTATAACTGTATTTTACTCTATTTTTACAAGAAATTTAATGAAAAAAATTGGAGCTGTTTTTTAGAAAATTTTGAAAATGTTCGGAGGGCTTCATGTAAAGTACCCCCAAATTTTGAAGAAAAAGTTTCACAATCGCAGTGCTTGGAATCGAGACAGATCGACAGAGGAACTTCCATTTTGGAAAAAACCTACGTATGGTTTAGGCGCTAGTGGTGTTCACAAACGGATGTTTTGAAGAAAAACAACAACAACAAAACAATCACTCATCTTCAATATAGTATTTGTAGTAAGCCTCCGAAAAAATGTTAAACTTTCGCAATTTTCAAAAAGCGGGGATTTCGACGAAAATGTGACCTGTGCTGTTCTTTTAACCGTTCGCTATTCGAGGACGAACTTTCATTTTTTTTAAATGGATGTTGCCAAAATTGAGTCATTTTGTGGAATCTTTCTAAAACATTGAGGCTTTATGTAAAGTACCCCCCCCCCCAAAAAAATAAAAATATTCGTTTGAAACTCGCAGGGCCTCGAGTTCATTGAGATCGATCGGGGAATATCAGTTTTTGAAAAAATCGTATAAAACAGTTTATGCCCTAGCGTTGAGTACAAACATAGGAAAGGACGGACAAAGATTTTTTCCCTAAATCAATATTTTGGAATCAAGGATTCACAATACCCACCCAATTCGCACCCTCCCCCCCCAAAATCAACAAAAAAAACATCAACAACAAAAAACACGAATTTTGATTACACTTTGATTTAAATAGAGTGCGTTGACGTAAATCAGCTGTTACGGTGGACGATGTCGGGAACTTGAATGATCCCTACAATAGTGACGTTTAAGCTCCCGATTGGATGGCACTGTAACAGCTGATCAACGGACTCAATAAATAAATCGAAGTATACACAACGTGTTAGAAGTAATTTACTATATATTGGAACAAGATTTATCCACACTTTCATTACCAGGGTCCCACAATACGTATTTTTTTACAAAAAAACTCCAATTTCCACAGCAGCATTACAATAATTTCTTTTTTCTGCTTACGAAGTAGACAAGAAAGTAAAATACGTAATATACTCTTCGAAGGGCGTATGTTTCTTGTATACAAGATTTTGAGACTCCCTTAGAGAGTGAAGTCCCCGGCGGTCGCCTGGTTCGCTTATGAATTACATCGCCTCTGATTACATATAATTTTGTTTGTATCTCTGATTATTGAGGGGCGGATTTCGATGATTTTGCATAGAAATCCCCCTCTCCGTTTCTTCAGTTTATGAGTAAGTGAAATTTCTTGACACTTGGTTAGAATTGGATGCTATGTATATTTATATGTTAATGCTTATTTGGCAGATTTTTCCTGTTGGTACATCTTCGTTTAATTATAAACACTTCAACATTTTTCGTTCAAATATAGACTTATCCCTGAAACGTTTCATATTTTCGTAAAATATTTTTGTGAGCGTTCATTGATTAGAAAGAGTTTGTCACAGTTTGCCTGTTTTTTCTTTTGTATAGATGATAAAATACGTGTACAAATGTAGGACTTTTTTGATATCACATTTTTTAAACCGGGCAGAAGAAACGCAACAAACATACAATGTACTTCACTGAAATGAATATTGACTTATTTCTCTCACGAAATCTATTGTGTTTGCATAAATATCATATATATATATA